GCTCAAGTTTAGACAACTGCCATTGACACCAGAAAAGGAAAGGATTAGACCTCAATCTCATAAAGATCAAGTAACTAAATTCCAATTTCCTTCAGCTTCCCTTTTAGATTTCTTCAGAGAACATGACTGCATTAAGTCACAGTCACTCTGTGTTCAATAACTACTAAGGTGAAGAAGGCTAGTGATTGACTTAAACACCAGTAGGAAATGTCCAACGCCTGTGAAAAATGCACAGGAGTCATCTGGCCTTGATATCTTTCCTCTGAGTTGGAGAGGCAAAGATAGAATCAGAGACACAAATTGATTCATTTTGTAATTTCATATGTTCAGGAATTTAAGAGCTTGAATCTGTATTGCAGAAATACCTACGACCTTAAATTCGTTTTCCTGCTGTCAGATATATTGCTGCACAAGTGACTTTCCCGTTTTGGTTTTATACGTATTTTAATGCCATTTTACTTTCAAGAGGACATATTAAGTATATTTAAGAGAATCTCTTCCACTAGATTGAGTTTCAAATTTCTCTAACTTGAGCTAAAGAATTTTTAAAAAATAAATGTATAAATTTAATTTAAAAATGAGTCAATAAAATATTAACACTATTTGATTGCACTTATTAATTTTGATGAATTCGTTAATTATAAAAACTTTACAATCTGTTCTGGTGACTGCTAATGTTGTCAACATGACAGATTATGGTTCAGATGTCTTATATCTCAGTTAATATCTAGTTTTGTCTCAAGATCTTACCAGTAACATTTAATTACATATTGGGAAGTCTTGGTAATCCTTAAAACTATGGGCTTTCCACTCTCTGTTGTCATTATTCAATGACAAAGACAGAAAACATTTTCATTGAAAATATTTTTCATACAATATATTCTGATTGTAAATTTCCTTCCCCATCTCCTTCCAGATCCTCTAAACTTCAACATTCATCCAATGTCAGTCATTCTTCTCTTTCTTTAGAAAAGAGGCAGGCAAATATAAACGAGTAAAAACAAAACAAGGGAAAAACATGAAACACACACACACACACACACACACACACACACACACACACCAGTCAGAGGCTATAATGTACAAGCAAGTGACTAGTAACATGAACAATGTCCTAAAAAGGAATATGAAATGAAAAACCTACAAAAATACCATTGAATTTGTTTTGTGTTGTCCATCTACAGTTGTTCATGGGGTTGACTTTGAAATATGGTTTAGGTACACATTTGAGACTCAATTAGACAAAGCAATCTTTGCTTTTCAAGAAGAGGTCAATTAGAGGTAACTTCTTGGTTAGGTATGAGAACTCATATCCACTCCCCCTTTTAAGTTCTGGGAGAAGGGCTAGCTTGAACATATGCAGACCCTGTGTGCTGTTACAGTCTCTGTGAGTTCACATGAATATCTTTTTTTTGTGTCTGGCAGGTACTGTTTCCTTGGTGTCGTCCACCCCTTCTGGATCATGTAATCTCACTACCTTCTTTTCTGCATAGCTCCCTGTGCACTGATGAGAAAGGTTTGATGAAGATATTCCAATTACAATTGAGTGTTCTAATGTCTCATCCTGTCCTACAAGTCCCTAAATAATACAATTTTAACATGAATGTTCCAGGTAACAAAACGTTCCATTTCTTTTATTTGTTTTTGTTTTTAATTCTTATATTTTTATTACTACTAATTAAATTTATTCATTTATATTGTATTTGTAACAGAGTTTTTCCTCCTACCTCTCCTCCAGTTCACTCCCAGCATCTGCACTCTGCCCTTACCTCCTCCTGTTCAGATAGTAGCAGGCCTCTCATAGGTGTCGAAAAATATATCATATTAAGATGAGGTAGTACTAAGCACTTTCCTGCAAAGTAAAACATGATAAGGTAACCCAGTATGAGGAATAGGTTCCCATAAGCCTGTCAAAGCAACAGGGACAGACCCCATTTCCACTGCTAGGTACACCACAAGTAGACAAAACTATAGAGGGCCTTAGGTCCATCCAATGCAGGCTCCTTAGTTGTTTGTCCAGTGTCTGTGAGCTCCTCTGAGCACAGATAAGTTGTCTTTGTAGGTTCCCTTGTGATGATATTGACCACCCTGGTTCATATAATCCTCACTCCGTCTTTTCAATTGGGTTTCGAGAGCTGTGCTTAGTGCTCGGCTGTGGATCTCTGCATATGCTTCAAGCAGTTACTAGACAATTTCCTTTTATGACAATTAGAGTAGTCAACAATCTGACTACAGGAGATGGGCATTTCATGCTTTCTATCCACTATTGTTAGAAGTCTTAGCTGCAGTCATCCTTGTAGGTGGCATGGATCAAATTTCTAGCTGACACTGATACACCACCAATTAAGACATCTCTTTCACGACTCTTCACTTCTATCCAAAACCAATCTTGTCCTTAATTTTTCCCATCACCCACCTGCCCCTAATTAGTGCAGGAGACCCTTTCTATTTCCACTATCCAGAGAAACCCAACAATCCCTTCTTGGGCTCTCTTTGTTACCTAGCCTCTTTGGGGATGTGGACTGTGACATGGTTATCCTTTACTTTACAGCTTATGATGAGTAAGTGTATACCATGTTCAGTGTATACCATGTCCAAGCCAGAACCTAGAAGCAACCTAGATGCCATTCAAGTAAAGAATGAATAAAGAAAACTTGTTAAAATTATACAATTACTCAGCTGATCAAAAAAATGAAATCATGAAATAGAGAGTAGAGTTTGAGGGGGGTGGGCAGAGCATAGCAAGGGAAACTTTTGTCAGGATTCATTGTATGCAAGGAAAATCTATTCTCAATTAAAAAATAAGAAAGAAGAAATTACAAAGCTACTAAAACAAACTCAAATATCAATCATCTGATTAATGAGCAAGCAAACTACAGTATAGACATGAAATATCAATTCACTTAAATGTTATTTGACAATTAGTAAGATGTGAAAGAAAGCAACAAAGTGGTGTTTATTTTTTAAAAAGTAACAAAACAGAAAAAAATTATAGGCAGATAGTAAATTGGTGAGATTAGGACATGAGAGATGATACTGGGAAAGGGCTTATTAAAGAAGACAAAGTTTCTTCTGAGCCAATGAAAATGTATTTAAATTGATTGTGGCACTGACTGAAAATTGCTGTAAATCAATCAGAGCAAAAGGCTTCTACATTATAAATGTGGGGAATGTCTGATATATAAATATAGTCTCAATTATACTTTTAATGTGTTTACTATCTGACTAAGAAAGGAAGGAAAATATGAGTTTCTTGGCAATGTTTTGGGAAACATATAAAAGCAAATCAACCAGTCTAGTGATTATGAAATAATACATTTGTTGAAATATATCTAGATATTTAAGATAAAATATGGCAGTAATATATGGATACACATGAGATTATGGAAACAGAACATTTTTGCAGTTAATGGGGGTGGGTGGAATTTAAGCTATACTAAAAAACTTTTCTTGATTACTGTAGATCAATCAATGATTGTAAAAGAAAGGATAGGACACTTGGGAAGCTGATTAATGGAAGGTAAATAATACTAGCAGGAAGTAGAAATGATTAAAACTTGTACAGCAGAGAATTCGAATCTTTTGTCATCCAGTAACATTAACCAATCTGAATATTTCAGTAGTGTGAGATGGAATAAATATAACTAAAAACAATAGGTAAATGGCACACTATAATGTCAAATCTTAATCAGTAGGCAAATAAGACTTTTATATCACTTTCATCAATTGAACTGTGTACACTGTTATATTAAAGCCCTTGGGTGAAAGCAAATGGTTGCCTTAATGGGATTATAGTCATGGTTAGGTGATTTTGTGTGTATTTGCAATAGGCTTTTATGTAGTTTACTGAATTATTTCTTTTAAACTAAAGAGGGAAAGTCATATGTATACGATGCAGAAACAGGAAAATAGAGAAATTTGATATAGTCACAAGTAACTGATGAGGGAATAGTTATTTGGATTTCATTATCATTTTCACCATTTATAAGATTTGATAAGGTATATTACTATGTTAAATCATTTGTAAAAATGGAAATTAGTATCATAAGTGTGAAAGAGATGATTTTATTTTTTACATTATGTAATTTATGTCTAATATCATGAGACATTTGAATGAAATGTGGAGACAACATGAGGTGGACTACATGTATATGTAAAATAGACATATACAATAAGCATTCACAACATGATAGATGAAATGATCAGTGTCTTGTTATCAACTTTTTCAATTACTATTATTTAAATAATTTAAAAATATACTTTAGTCAATATGGGAGGGAATGTATTTTTTTTCTGAGTAAAAAATGTGCTTATTATGATTTAATATGATAAATGATTAAATATCTTTCCAAAATAGGTAAAAAAGAAGTCTAATGATTGTGTTTTATTGTTGTTTTTCCTGCAACTTGCTTCACACAATTACTATATCAATGTATATTTTTTATCTCTTCAAAAATGTCCACTGACTTTGTATCTTACTAAAAGATTATGGCATATCTTTTTAAATTTGCCTATCAGAATTCCCTATTATACTTACATTGTACCTATCATAATGATGACAGATTATCCTATAAATATCAGGACAGCTTTATATAATATATGAAATATACAAAGAATGAGCTATCTCCAAATAGCTTAATGATTTCCTTATTTAAAACCTTCAAAGCTTTGCTCAGATGTCATCTTTCTTGTGAGGCATGTCCCTAAATATATGTTAAGCTAAATATTACATCACCATTTGTTTCATAAGTTTCTCAAAACCAAGAACTAAGCTGTAAAGCATCATTTTGCCAGGAAAAAAAATGGGTATCAAAATTTCTCAACCAGAAGAATTATCATGAGATATAATAGAAATATGGAGGAGATGCTAGGGACTAGAAAGTTGGCCAGTGGCTACTTACCTGCTGTACAAGTATGAGGATTAGAGTTCAAATATCTAGAAAAGGCAAAACACCAGAAATGGTGGTCCATAGCCATTAGACTCATGCTCCCATGGCAAAATGGGTGACGGGGAAGCAGGAGTTCTGGAAGCTGGAGGGCAAGTTAGCCCGACTTACAGAATGTCAAAGACCAAAGAAAACAAAGGCAAAAAAACCCTTAAATGTTTATTTTTTAATTTTAAATTACATTTATTCTTTGGCATACAATAGTGCAATTTCTATTTAAAAACTCAAAAACAATATAACAAATTTCACGTTTTCCAAAAAAAGAGAAAAATTTTAGTGGCATTTAAATTAAATAGACTCTAATGCTTCAGTAATATTAATTACGTCGAAAAATTTTAGTAGAGTAGAATTTTAATTATTGTTTCATACCAGTTAGTTGTGGCTTATAGTTCTTTAAATCTTGACACTGACTAAGACAATTAGCAATAACTGATTAGTACTTAAAACAGGTTACACAAATATGGGGGAAGGAAGGGACAAGCTCTTCAGAAAACACCAACTTAAAATAATCTTCAAATGGAAAATCCAGTACAGTGCAGGCTTTCCCTAACTGCATTGAGCACAATAACAGAGCTGTTTCAAAAATACAAAGATATAACAGAATGATACAATTGCAGCAACAACAAATTAAAGGTTCTCATAATATGTGCAAATTAAATTCCCCTCCCCTTGATAGAGTATCATCTTATTCCTTGGACATAGAAATCTGTTCTCAGTAGAAATATTAAGGCTTCTCATGGAAAACACAGTTTCACCTTCTAGGAGGATTAGATCAAACAGTGTGTTGTCATCATCCTCATCACCTGGCTCTAGAGGCGTCAATTCCACTTTTTCTATGTTAGGGTCCAGAGCCCCATATCTCCTAGTTTTGTGATTTCTTCTTCTCATCTGCAATTGACTACTTTTTTTTTTTCTTTTTTCTGCGCATGCTTCTTCTCAGCCTCGTACATCGGCCGTGTTCACTCCTGTGCAGTGTCCATCACTTCTTTCCCCTGTTCTCAGGCCCCATGTTTCGGTGCCATTTTCCCCGTCCAGCCTGTATCAGTCCTACAGTGCAGGGGCCATCTATTCCGGTCTGATGTCTTTGTGGCTGAAATCTGAAGCAGTCGAAAAGCCCTGGTCTGACCCTGAGTCAGGAGTGGGGATGAGCGAAGTCCTAGCTACCCAGATGTTAAGGACTGGACAGAGATATCTGGTCATCTCAAGAGTACTCTTAGTGAACCCTGGGAGCCTTAAATGTTTATTATTACGGGATAATGACAGTCTAGAAATATTGGATGATTCCAAATGCAAAACATACGGAGAATATAATGCTATGCACATAACAAAAAGATTCAAGATTGCCAGGCCTTAGAAAAAGCTAAACTCGGTTCTTGCCCAGAGTCGCCATGGTTTCCTGCTTCAACAGTGCTGGATCAGAACTGGAAGCTCAACCCTTCCGACACCATCTGGCAGCTCTGGGACAGAACCCTTTGCAACCTGGTTGCTCCACCGCTCCAGCGCCACCACCGCGCCTGCCTCTGCCATGACCCCACCGCCCTGACCACAGCGTCTCTCTCGCAAGTGCACCAGAACTACCACCAGGACTCGGAGGCTGCCATCAACCACCAGATCAACTTGGAACTGTACGCCTCCTACGTCTATCTGTCTATGTCTTGCTACTTTGACCGGAATAATGTGGCTCTGAAGAACTTTGCCAAATACTTTCTCCACCAATCTCATGAGGAGAGGGAACACGCTGAGAAATTGATGAAGCTGCAGAACCAACGAGGTGGCCGAATCTTCCTGCAGGATATCAAGAAACCAGACCGTGATGACTGGGAGAGCGGGCTAAGCGCAATGGACTGTGCACTGCACTTGGAAAAGAGTGTGAATCAGTCACTACTGGAACTGCACAAACTGGGTACTGACAAAAATGACCCCCACTTGTGTGACTTCATTGAGACCCATTACCTGAATGAGCAGATGAAATCCATCAAAGAGCTGGGTGGCCACGTGACCAACTTGCGCAAGATGGGAGCCCCCACTGTCATGGCAGAATATCTCTTTAACAAGCACACCCTAGGACATAGTGAGAGCTAAGCTGACTTCCAGAAGCCACCAGTGATGTCACCGGTCACTGAGGCAGTACATGCATATAGGCTGCCTTTACCTTTTCTATAAATCACCAAAACATCTGCTTAAGTTCTTTAATTTGTACCATTTCTTCAAATAAAGGATTTTGGTACCAAAAAAAAAAAAAAACAACAACAACAAAATAAAAGTTTGAAGATTGCCAAGCATAAATAAGTAGACTCTAGGTAAATGTTATATCAAAGTTTGTGTACTATCAGAAACAGATGTGACAGAAATAACCAATTAAAACTTGCCATAGCTCCCAAATATCTAACATCTAAGTAAATTCTGATTTGAACTTTAGACTTCTAATGCAAGTCGGTCATCATTGAGAAGCTAAATCTAAGCTGAAGAAATACAGGGAAGCCCTATGAACATGAGGCTCAAACTTTCTCTAAGCTTAAAACAACCAAAATTATAGCATAGAAGTAATGCATTATTTTATTAAATTATTGATAAGATAATACACTCTAGAGTAATAAACACAGAACTATAGAGAACAATTTTAAGTTATCTGAATATGGAATTATGCATTTAGATGAATGTAAATTAAAGAATCTTATAATTTAAAAACTGTTATATCAAATATCTCAAATATATAAAAGCAATATGTACTTTGAAATATTAATTTGCTTTCAGAATGATATTTATATACATAATTGAAGATACTGATGGTAAAATAAATATAAAATATGGGGAATATATATTTATCCATGTGGCTGGGATCCACATGAGCTAGTGATTTCTGAATTCTGTACAGTTGTGGTTTTCTGCAATGAGCTCCATTTTTTATAAAGAGATGCTTCTTTAATTAGAGAGAGCAGTTTGATTTATCTGTGAGTGTGAGAATAAGAATTAGAATGTAACAAACGATATGATAACATAGCAAAGTGGTGGCAGTAGATTCTTTTCTAATGCCCATAACCTTATTTGCACCAGGAAGCTGGCTAGGTTTCTAGTGCCACACATGATTTCCCTATTGTAGAGTACACCTTAAGTCCAATGAGACAACCTTTGGTTACCATTGGCATGTGAGTGACACTTATTTTACCTTTATAGATAACTTGACATACTGGTTACCAAATTTAAGAATGCAATAGAAGGCTTTCATAGACATAACACACTGTAGTGTAGAAGATCCCTATCAGTAAATGTATACAAAATCTTTTAATAATTAACAAATATGAATAAAGAATATTTTAGATAGAATTTATAGACATAGTTTCTTGTTCTGCCTAGTCCTGATGCCCTTCAGTTCCAAATAAACAAACAGGAGCTTGTATTAATTAAAAACTGTTTGGCCGATCCCTCAGACTTCTTACTAGCTAGCTCTATCTTAATTATAAACCCATAACTATCAACCTATATATTTCTACATGACCTTATCTTACCAGACAATGCCTGGGGGCATCCTACCTTCCTAGTAGTTGCATGGTGTCTCTCTGTTGGCTCACTCTCTCTGTCCACTCCCCAGAATTCTCCTAGTCTTGAAACCTCACCTATACTTTCTGCCTGGCTACTGGACAATCAGTGTTTTATTCATCAACCAATATGGGAAACATATACACAAAAGGACATCCCCCAGCAAGAATTACATACAGTTTAACAATGGTGGGCTGCCACATGAATGATCTAAAACTTATATGAATGTCAAGCAAATAAGTGCAGATGCCTACCCTGATTCTAAACTGAAAAAGGGAAGATCAAATAATTTCTTGTTTCTGTTTGAATTTAATTTTTCATACTAGGGTTCAGTCACAGAACATGGTGCATTTTATTTCACTATGTTTTTCTAATTATCTATAGACTGAACCTAAGGGGGAAAATATTTCAGAGTTGTTAACCTTTAAAAGAACGTACTATGAGCTGCAACTTTCACATAAGGTAAAGGCCTTACCTCTAACCCTAATGATATACATTCAAACAGGTTACTCAAATAGAGAATAGCTTTCTGTAGATTGTCATCTCTCACCATAGAACACACACACACACACACACACACACACACACACACACACACACACTAGTAGTCCTTTAGTGGGAAGGATAGGAAATGGAAATTTAATAGGAAATGGAAATAACACTTTGCAATTTACAATTATATATACAATAAAATATTATCTTAAAATAAGGCATATTATCCTGTTCCCAGGTAATAAAATGGGGATGTTTGTCACACTCCTGTAGAAAAAGCAAACCAAACAAAATACTTTTAAAATTCAAGTTAGTTCATGTATTATAAAGCAGTAAGAACCTCTCCTCAAACCAACAAGTTAGTTCATGTACGATAAAGCAGTAAGTGTCCCTCCTCAAACCAACCATAACATCCACAAACAGTAGAGTGAACAATGAAACTGCAATATTTCCTCAAGGACACTCTGTTTAGTCATAAGAAATAAGACACTGCTCCTCATACCATTGTAAAAAAAGTTGTATAAAAAGAATTCTGAAGAATGAAGCCATATACATAGATGAATATTGAACTGTTTCACAATTTGGATTTCAAAACAAGTTCAGACTGATTTATATCATTAAGTAAGAAAAATGTGCCTTTGTGAATGAATGTGTGTAGAAATTTGTAGTATGTAGAAATCTTGTTCCCTTATGGATCATGATTCATTTCTTTATATCATAGGCAGCAATGTGATTATGACCACTTTGTGATATTTATGAGAACATTTATGCATGTTATTTATGTCCAGTCCTGTTTGGAGCATTGCTCTGCATTTGATACACTTGGGTAAAATATACTTGGGAAGGAGAAACAATCCAAATTTTAACTACCATTGGTGAAAATATGTCAATATGGAGTTATATTAATGCTTTGAATCTGCTACTCAATAAGGTGACATTGAGAGCTACTGCATCATGGAGAAGGTATTTAATTTATGAAGGTATTACAGTAATTTATCCCAATTTGGAAAGAAGGGATCTTAGTTAAATAACTGACAGCTTCAAATATGAGCATATTAGATGCACATTACAAAGGATCACAGAGCACATGAAACTTCAAACATGCACTGAAGAACCCAACAGAAGATTAAAAGGGGCAATAGATGGAAGTCTGACAGAAAAATCACAAGCCACACCTCTTCCTGAAAACCTATGATTCTAGCTAATCAGGAGGATACTAAGTACAGGTCAGCTAAGTATACAATGCAAATTCAAAGTCATCTTGGGTGATTCATGGAGAACCTGTATTGAAACCTAAAAATAAAACTGTAATACATAAATACTTTTAAGTAACAGATTTTGATTTTAAGATCAAGTATGCACATATACAAAAGGAACAATATATTAATAGTAACTAAACATTTGCCCTTGTCAATTTTCACTTATATCCTAACTTTACAAAATAAATATTATTTTATTATACTATTTATTGAATAGGAATGGGAAGCAAGTATGAGGTGTGCATGTTTTGAAATTCTGAAATAATTATTAAATTATTATTTTTGGTGAAAAAAATAAATATAAGCCTTATTTCTGAGTGACACATATATAAATGTGAGCCTTAAATTTGAATGCCATTCTAGGCACACCAGAACATCTTGTGAAAATATTAAAATGATTTGCAATTTTTAGCTTCTGAGAGGAAATATCAAGTTTCTTCAATGAATGACACTGGGTATACCCACCATGCCCCAGAGAAGGCCTCATATGCAGGAGTGATTGTCCAACACAAAATAGACTCCATGAATTTGTGTGTGTGCACATTTTTCTTTTGTTCTGTTTTGTTTTAGTTTATAAAGGGAAAGAAATCAAATGAAGTTTGGTGAGTAGTTGTCACTAGTCACTCCATGATTAATTTACTCCAGCATAGTCTGAACAAAAGCCAGTAACTCTGAATGAGGTATTGAGATGTATTGTAATATTAAGAATAGACTTAGGTTACCATCTCAAGTTTGTTAGTTACATACTAGAATAAGAATGTAAGACACTTGAAGTTTTATTTGCCTCTACTGATCATCAGCACATGAACAGTAGACTCATGGCAAACGTAGTCATGACGTTAGTAGGGAAATAGTAGAAATGCTTGCAGATTCAGGCAAAATTCATTTCTGACTTAGAATTTCTGGAAAGACAACAGCAATACAAGGCACATAATGAGTGTCAGATATTTTTCGAATCCTTCAATTACAAGATACAGTGAACAGAAAAGTTTTCAGACACTTGGAGTAGATACGTGGTGTTAATTGCTTGGAAAACATTCCTACAGTTTATGTATTTAATATGAGGTTCCCAATAGCTAATGAAATTTTGGGAGTAAGTGAAAACTTTTCAGTGTAGCCAAGATGGAAAAAGTGGATTTCTGGAAGGAGTGTAAAAGTTTCAGGCATTCTGCTGTCCTGCTCCTGTTACCTGGTGGAACAGGCAGTACCCTGGTCAGCCCAGGGTTCCATGGAAACTAAGTCTGCATGCAGGTGCAGAGGACCCATTTAAAAGACAGACCCTGCCCATTTACATGCTCTCTCTCTACACTTTTCTCTATATACTCTCTACTCTTCTCCTCTTTTCTGTTTGCTTCTGCTTCTCTTCTCTCTCTCTCTCTCTCTCTCTCTCTC